TTTGCTCAAGGGTAGGAAGGCTCTGCAGAGGGATCTGGACAGGCTGGATCAATGGGCCTAGGTCAGTCCTATGAGGTTCAACAAAGCCGAGTGCCGGATCCTGCACTTGGGTCAGAACCCTATTCAACCTCACTAGAAGAAGGGTGTTGAAATGCTGGAGTGGGGTAGAGTGGCTGGAAATCTGCCTGGTGGAAAAGGACCTTGGAGTGCTGGTTGACAGTGGCTGAACATGAGCCAGCAGTGTGCCCAGGGGGCCAAGAAGGCCAACGGCAACCTGGCTTCTATGTGATCGTGTCCCTGTACTCAGCACTGGTGAGGTCCCCCCCTAAGTGCTGTGTTCAGTTTTGGGCCCCTCACTACAAGAAGGACACTGAGGTGCTGGAGCATGTCCAGAGAAGAGCAATGAAGCTGGTGAAGGACCTAGAGAACAAGTCTAGTGAGGAGCGGCTGAGGGAACTGGGATTGTTTAGTCTGGAGAAGAGGAGGCTGAGGGGGGAACCTTATTGCTCTCCACAACTACCTGAAAGGAGGTTGTAGCGAGGCGGGTATTGTCCCTTTTCCCAGGTAACAAGTGATAGGATGAGAGGCAGTGGCCTCAAGTTGCACCAGGGGAGGTTTAGATTGGATATTGGGAAAAGTTTCTTCACCAAAAGGGATAATCAAGCCTTGGAACAGTGTACTAAGGGAAGTGGTTGAGTCACCATTGCTGGAGGTGTTCAAAAGAAGTGTAGACGTGGCACGTGGTTAGTGGTGGACCTGGCAGTATTAGGTTGGTTGGACTCGATCTTAAAGGTCTTTTCCGACCTAAACGATTCTATGATTCTTTGAGATGTCCTTTCTCTATGATGTTACAGTTGAGATCAATGTGAGCGTTGCTTCACTTACATGTTTGGTTCTAGTGTGCATTTCCAAAGAGAATCTACTTGCTTCTGGTTTTTTCCCCACCCTTCAAATGGGTGCTGCAAAGCAACAGTTATATCCAAAAAGATACTGAGAAGAAAAAAGAGATCAGAAGACAGAGATTGTTTGTGTTTCCTAATCTGTGTGTTTATGGTGCAGAGATTCTGTTAGCGACATTTTTCTGTCTGTATTTTATGCCCTTCGAAGAAGCAATAAAAACCTGGCTTTTTTTTTATTATATTCACTGGTATGAGTGAGTGGGTGTGTGGAGAGAGGAGTAGGGGATGAAGCACAAATTTTTCTATATATTTCTCCTACTCCTTTTCACTCTATCTCAATTAATTTTTTTACTCTTCTTTATTATTTGAGCTGTTTCAGTCAGTCACTGGTGCTTTTTAATCCTAGTTGTACAACAGATGTCTTGTTTGCCAGGTTAATATTGAAATGAATCCATGAGATCACCACAGGAGAAATTAAACACTGAAAAAGGGTTGTGTGTATTAATGTATATGTACAGAAATCACGGCTAATTGGTTTGAAGTGCAATGGATAGTGTCATGTCACTATTGTAAGTACTGTAGAGAAAGGAAATGAATTAAAAAAAATCATTTGGAGCTTATTTTGTGCTTATTTGGAAAGAGGTCACTGCTGGTGCTTCACTTTTTACCAATATACAATAGCAATTTTACATATATATATATTTATATATATATTTTACCAATGTAGCTACATTTTCCTTTGTGTCTTTGAGAAAAGAATGGGTCATCTGCTTCTAAACTGTGCAAGTGTTCAGATAGTTGAGAGCTGCTTGCAAAGTGACCCATATTATCTTCACATTGCGTCAAAACCTGGTTCAGAGGCTGGTAAAAGAGTCACGAAAACTCTTGACAATAATTTACAGTAACTTTGAATCATTTACAGAACTAGTGAAGGCTGGAATAATGTTGTTCTATATAAACCACTATGTACCTTGCAGTGTTTCTCTGAGGAAACGCAAGCCTAATGTGCATAGCAATGACCACAGATGGTAAGATTTTTCGAACCTGTATTTCTTTGTTTTAGTAAAGAAATAAAATGTTATGTTTCAGCTTTTTTCGTGATGTTAGATTGTGTAGTACAGTTGTCAAAAATGACAGGTATTGTTGAAAGAATTTGCCATCAAAAGTGTGGTTACATTAGAACTAATTTCTTTACACATTCCCTTGAAATTATTATAATATTCTGATATTACTGTGATACTCTGAGCAGAATACATGTTTGATATTTTCCTAACATTGAATAGATTGTAATGTCTGAATAAGTTTTTGTATTTGTAAGAAACTACCAGCTACACCTCATGGTCAAGCAATATGTGTCCTGGTGTTCTGATAATTGTTATTAAATATAGCATAACCTGCTAAGGTATACTTTAATTTTGAGTAATACTGTTATGTATTGACCTGTTAAACAGCTCTTTTATGGCTCCTGTGATATTTTTAGTGTGCACTGCAATTGTAAAGTTTCAAAACAGTCATATAACTATTAGAAAAATTATAATCCATATTTTACTTTAAAATTCATGTAAGCATTTTACTTCATATTTTTGAATATTAAAAAGATCTATGAGTAAAAGTATCAGCTTTAGTAGTAATTTGTAATAATTACTTGTAACGAGCTAGGCATAAATATAAAACTGATGGGTTTTTTTTGAAGTTCAAGGAATGTGAGAAGATTTAAAATGAATGAGTGTGATTTTACCATTTCAGCCAGTTTCCGTGAACATTTCCTTTTGAGCTAAGGCTAGTTGTCCAAAATAGTCTTTAGGAAATGGAAATAGCTCATGTATCTTGAGTGCAGAGGTTGTGGATTGTGTATTTGATATATTTGGTATTTTGAAGCAGGCCTTTTCTCCTAGGATTGTTCTCCATGGGAAGATTTGTTTTTGTTTTAGGCACAAACCAGTAGCAGTTTGGTTGGTGCCTAGCTGTGACTTGACTTAACAGGGGGTGAAAAGATGAGATGTGGTGTTACATTATCTTTATTTTTTTTTATTCTGTTAACCGTCACCTAATTCTTAGAAAGAGAAGAGTTAAGATTTCAGGATGTTATGGTTCCTAAAAGCTTACATGGATTAAAGAAGGTGACTGGACAAATAAATTGGTAAAAAGCCCATGGGGTGGTGTTAAGCAGAAGGATAACACCTCTGTCTAGAGAAATCTTCAATCTGCAAATTGCTGCAGGCTGGAAGGGTATTCTGGGGAAGTACTGCTTTGTGTGCACTGTTTTTGTCTGCTTTTGGCCACTCTCAGAAAATGTACTGTGTAGATTAACATTTGATTTTTATCTGTTGTATTTATTACTGTTTTCTAACCCTGTATGTATCTCTGTGCCTACATGGTTGAGTCATTGCTCTTACTTTGCTGTATTAATTTGTTTCTCCAAATTGACTATACAATTTGTGAACAAAGATAAATTGTATGTGATTTTAAAAAATAAAATCTATAAATTAATTTGAAGAATAGTTAAAATATTTCATCAAACAAATTTTATATTTTACAGCTCTACTACCTTGCTGATTATTATAATTTTTAGATTCGACAGGTGCAAATTTTACCAGCATCTACTGTTGGAATTCGTATTGATGTTATTTTTTCTTTGATAATGGTCATCATGGTTTTTTTTCTTTTTAGTTTTAAAATTTTTTAATTTCATGTGCCTGAAGGTCACACAAATGCATCAAAGCCAAAGCTTTGATTTAAAAAAAAAAAAAAAAAGAACAAAATTTGCTGTCTGAAATGAACTCATTCTGTAAAAGTCCTTTACTGCTTTGGGAAAGTCTGAGATAACTTATAGACAGTTTTTCTTACTAAGTGAAGTAGTCATAGCAGTTAGTTAGAAGTGCTTGTTCAATGAGAAGGTTGAACTTCATACAGAAGTTGCCATCTTGTATATCAATTTTAGTTGCTGCATATGTAACATGCTCGACATAAAATCTTAGAAAACAAGGAAATAAAAACTGAGAGTATTAAATGTTCATTATGTCTTGCTTTAACCTTATTCTTACTTCACCACTTGCCCAGCTATTGAATGTCACTGTGTTTCTTAGTCTTAATTGGCTGCATCAGGACTGCAGTCTGCCATCAAGTCATTCCCCAAATTTAAGTAAAGTTACCAGAACTGTACAGACTTCAGTGGTGGGGGGGTGCAGAGCAGGTCATGGTTAAGAGTATGTTTAGTGGCTGTCTTCCCTATAAAGAAATTTGCCTGAATTGAGTTTGTAATAGTTTTGATTATATTTCTTGTTTTCCTGACTGCCTGAGCACCAGCTAATGTCTTCCCTGAAGGTGCTAGTAATTGCTGTTATAATGAAGTCTAATCTCTTTCTCTTCAGTTTTGTAGCTTTGATCTTGGTTATACTGACTCTTACGTGCTGAATTACCTGAAATTAGAACTGCATTTTGTGGGTGAATCTGAAATACAACAAAAACTACATGCGTAGCTTTCTGAATGGCCTTTAATATACAAATTTTATAGGCAATAATGTAAGGAAACAGATGAAATCCCATGAAATCAACAGATTTCCTCTGTGGTACATTTCCTGTGCAGTACATCATTATGATTAGAAATACCTCTGAAGTGATGTAATGGTTTTAGTTTTTATACTTTCCAGAGAAATAGCAATTTTCCATGTGTAAGTGAAACTTTAAAATAAAATTTCATACTATTTAGTATTACTTTGTAAATAATTAAAAAGCATAGATAAGCCCTGTGAAACTTAGTGGCTTCCAGCTACCAACTCATCAAAAATTTTGTCTGCTGCTGTTATTTGTGATCAGTATGCTGTTTCTATCCATGTTAGATTGGATGTATTAAGTAGGTATGAACTTCCTTATGTTCTCTGCTGCGAATGTCTCACACTTAGAACCTGATCTAAATCTTACTAAGGTTAAGAGAATTTTTCTTTGGGTAACTTCAACTGTCTGATAAAGTGCTTCTAAATTTGTATTAATCTACAGTCTTTTGAAGGGCTAGATCAGGTGTGTATCTTTTGACTGAAACTATTATATACAATTGCACTACTTTATAAATTTATTAATACATTTATTATATATCTGTTTCAGGGTATTGAGGAATGGAATATTGCCCATCTTAATACAATATTGGATGTTGTAGGAGAAGACTGTGGAATTTCTATTGAGGGTGTAAATACGCCATATCTGTATTTTGGCATGTGGAAAACAACATTTGCGTGGCACACTGAAGACATGGATCTCTACAGTATCAATTATCTCCATTTTGGGGAGCCGAAGTCATGGCAAGTTTGAATTTTTGTGAAAGATGATTTCATATATCTGTTTCAGCTGACTAAACCAAACAGATGGGCCATAATTGCTTCGTAGTGGTATGTTTTACTGAAAAGCTAAGATAGTAGTTTTGTTGTGTGGTTTTTTTTGTTTTGTTTTGTTTTTGAGCTCAGAATGCTATGAAATATGTGAGGTTTGTGATGTAAAGAACATCCAAGAAATCCAACTCATATACTTACGTTCTTTGCGTAGAATATTGATAGATGTAGAGGCTTGAATAGGTTTTTTTTGGCTCCTTATTACTAACTGTGGATAATGTGAGTGCAAGTATTGTAACAATATAATACATTTCAATGTTTCTGATATATTTCTGTATAGGTTCTTTTTTCTCCTCACCCTGGTGCCTGTAATGGGGTTGGGCAGTGAACTATCCGTGGAGGTTTTCCTTTGAAGAAGCTTCATACTTAAATCTTACTTCTCTTTAAAGCCCAGATGTCTAGCATCTCTGAAAATGTTATCTGTGGGATTTTTCCAACTATATGGGATACTTTCCTGAGAACTGCTTAACTTTTCTGGATTGTCAGGATTCTCTGTTTTTAATGTGGAACTTCACTTTTCTATTCTTATTGACAAGTATGGATTAGCATAAGAGGATTCTTATGCGAAATGTAAGAAATCTATAGACAAAGAAAGGGGAGAGGTTTTTTTGCAGTCCTTAAGGGCAAATCATTAATTACTGGGGCAAACAAACATTTTATGAGATGGTTGTTGCTTGAGTATAGTTTTTGACTTAAGAATTTTTCTGTAAAACTTATATGTTCTGGTATATGGTCTGGGGTTGTAATCTGTGGTATGAGGAGATTATAGGGAAGATGAAGCCAAAGTCAGTGGTGCATTGACATAGGAAAGGAACGGTAGCAATAAGCACAATTTGCAACAAGGGACATTTCAGTTTGATGGAAAGAAGAAATAATTCACAATGACATTGTAACAGGTTGCTTAGGAACGCTGCTGAGTCCTCATCTTTGGAATTTTCAAAGCTTGATTTAGATGTTGCCCTGTGCAAACTGATCTAACTTTGAAGTTAGCCGTATGTTGATCAGGAGATCGGACTAGATGACATTCAGGTCCCTTCCAGCCTAAACTTTTCTACCATTGTGTGATACTGAATTTTAAAGATGGTGTTGAAAGTTACTTTGCTAATGTATGGGGTGACTTGGAAACCAATTCTGAATCAAGCCTTCACTTTTCTGCAGAATTCTAAACCTGTGCGTTAAGTTGCTTGCAATTCATTTGCAACCATTGATGCTGCAAATTCTTTCTAGTTTCTGTATACTTACATGTTTTTTAGCCAATGTTTTTTCTTAAAGTGCATTCTGAGAAATATAAAGACCTGGGAAATATAGGGTTAGAGAAGAAAGAGGACCCTCCATCCCCCCGTTCACAAAACAAGTGCAGCAATAAAGCAACAGTCCGATGAATAACTATCAACTCTCACTTCGTAGGTCAGGAAGCTGCTATATTTGTGTCTTTGACCAGATGTTCCTGGGTTGTTATTTTTGCACAGTGCTTTGCAGTGCTACTGTTGGTAGCTGCTATTTAGGTATTGGAATAAAGTTATCAGTTTATTTTGTGTAAGCTGTGTGTGTACAATATGTGTGACTATTTATTTTCTAACTCTGCAGTGTATAAGTTAGCGAAGTAAGGTTTAAAAAGCGGACAGTCGGTCACCTGGACTACCTTGTCTGCTGATCTGTGGGTGTTGATGTTTTTAGTGATGGAAAGAACAGACTACTTAATATTTAAGCTTTGTAGTTACTGCAGAGCTACTATAGTAATTATTCTATACTACAAAATGTAACTTCTTTGGCTGTGATGTCTAGAACAATGTTATTAATGTGGTACAGCTTAGTGTAATTACTTCCTGAGGCATAGATAGAAAGATCACTATGAAATGTAATAAATCTGACTAGATTTTTATACTCGTAATGATTGTTCTAGTCAAGTCGTTATGACTGTGTAGTTTTTTGTGTTCTTTAACACATTTTACTGTGCAAGCTCAATGATGTTGTGATTTTACATTCATTCATAGCTTTACATTTATTTTCATTTTGTTAAAATTTTAAGATTATTAAATTAGAGGAATGCAAGGCAGATAACCTGTGAAAGTCAGAATATGACTGACAGTTCGTAGAATTTCATGCTGACCCATAGAATTCTGTACTGAGTCACAGGAAATCTGTTTTACTAGCTAACCTGATTTTTTTTTTTTTTAATGACGTAGGTTTTATTATGTGATATAAGTTTTATTTTCTGTTCTTGGAAACTGGGGACTTGTCATCATGTAGTCATCATTCTGGTATGCTGTTACAGCCTGCATTTTCCATGTTGGGAGTGATGTGAAGGGGTCCTTGGGGGAAAAACACCAATTCTGAAATCTTTATATTTATGTATCTATTATTATCATTTAGCTCCACTGCTTTTCTTGCTTTGGAAGTAAAATTCACTTTCTGTGAAAACCTACAGACTAAACTGAAAGCATGTGACTCTTTCTAGCAGGGTATCCTTGGTTTGTACAATTTCAGCTGTGCAGTTCACAGGGTATGTTGCAGGTATTCATGATTTTTGGCCTTTTTCTTCTTTCTTACACAGTTTCCCTGAGTGTGCAGTGTGATTTAATTTCCATCTTAAATATGTCCTTAAACCAGGATTTTTATGTTGGAACAAACATGGTGGTAGAAGATTTTTCTAGAATGCGAAGGGATGCTGATGGTTGAAGAACACTTAACTTTAATAGTTTATATAAGTCTTTGTGAAAACTTTTGAAACTCTGAAGCAATGCTGCTTAAAACTGCGTTAGTAAGAGTGTTGGCTAAGGTTTTCTGATTTTTTTTTTTTTTTTAATTTTTTTAAACAATACTTAAAGCTAAATGGATATTAGTCATGACCAACATACAGTCATGTTTCTCTGTTGAGTTAAAGGCAGAGTAGAGAGAATTGTAAGTTTATATCAAGTCTATACAGTGGATTAAAGAGAAATGAAATGCCTACTTCAGATACAGATGAAAAATAGGATCACTTTATGTACTTTTGTCTACAATAGTAGATTATGTAGCATGCTTCTAAGAATTATATTTAATTTTTTTTTTCAGAAATCACAGCTGTAATAATTAATATTGTGCTGCACTTAATTTTTCTAAATAAATGTTGTTATATCAGTATCCTAAAAACAAGGAACTATGTTTTTAGAGCTTGAAGTTACAAAGAGAGAAGCTTCAATGCTAAATTATTGAAAGTTTGGATTCAATTAATATATTCTGTTAAAAAAGTAGCAATGATTTTCAATAGTTTATTGTCAATCAACATTCATCGTAATGGGAAAACACTTTAATCCCATAAAATTGCATTTGTTTAATTTTACTAACATTATAGTTTAGGTGATTTACTTCTACTGTGAAGTTACTGCAGAAATGCTGATTGGTTTGTGACATGTTTTCTGGCTACTTAGAGATTTTTCTTGATAAAGCCCAGGGAGAACATTTCAGAGAATGGAGCAAAAACCCAAATGATCATTTGTTCCCTGATCTCACAGGGATTTTATTATAAAAAATGTACAGATATTTGTTGCATTATTCTTGAAGGACTTGTTAGCTCTGGGCTGAATGTGTTTTGTTTCAGGCCTATCTTTGTAAGAAGGTTTGGTAGCTTCTAATGTGAAAACTCTCATATCTCATTTTTTTTTTTTAATTCTTAGCCTTGTAGAAATTACAGCTGATCAATTTGATGATGTGGTGCTGCTTTGTCTTTTATCAGATTGTAGATCCTATGGAAGATACCGTGAAGCAATGCTAGAATTGCTTAAATATGTTCATTATGATAAATTGAGAATCAACTGCAGATGAAATCCTATTCTATGAAAACCTAGCTCACAAAGAGCCTTAAAGTAATGAACTGTGATACCATGCTTAACTTCTAGGCTGTTCATCCTAGAAAGTATTTCAGAATGCTGAATTAAGCTCTGAGGTTCTGCGTACTGTAGATGGATGAAAATAGATGTTTCATAATGGAAGTGAAGCAAGCACATTGAATGGGGAACTGTCAATTCTAGGCAGTAGGCAAGTCTAGAAAGAGGGGAATGTTTGAAATTTTTAAGCCTGTTAATATCACAAGCGGGCCCAGGAGCGCTATTACAAATATGTAATCCAAAGTTACATAAAGTGATTTTACCAATAACTGAACTAAAATGGGCTTTTCCAACTTGAAATAGGAAAGCTTGACCTTTTTTTTAACACTTGCAGTACACAGATACGGGAAAGAAACAAAGACCATTGAATAAAAATTCAGCTTCTGTAATAGTATTTTGTTTCCTGCATTTTACCCTAGATTTACAATAATGTAATGATACTTCTGATCAAAATTTGTTTTAGGAATTTTTTCCTCGTCTCCGCCGTCTCATTTTGGTATCTTTATAGAAATTTAACTTTTTAAATTTACTTTCTGGATATTTAAGAGCTTTGAGCAATTTGTTTTTCATGACCTACACTTATTATCAAAAGAATCAAATGATTATACCTTATAACGTAACCAGGGAAAGGGTTACAAGTGTACAACAAGTCATGCCCTGGCATTGTTTCAGGATATTTGTTTTCAATTCATATGTCTTTAGTCCAGTTTTCTATAAGCACCTTTTATGTAGTAGAATTGTTTTGTGTTGTCTAATGCAGCAGTTTCTCAAATGGAAATTTGAAGAAGTTGATGTTGCTGTGGAGATACAATATTAGTTTGCCTGTGTCTTCTGAAATGTCTGTCAGTTATTTCTCCTTCTGAAGCCTGTAATTTTATTCTAAGTTATCTTTTGAATTAAGAAGTTTCATCTGTGGTCCATGTGCTTTTTGTTAATATTTTCAAGTGACTTGTACTAAAGATTCCATTTTCAGCTTAAAGGAAAATAAAAGGAGAGGAAGCATTTTTTAGGCGTGTTTTTATACGGGTGCATCTCAGTGCAACATCCAAACATTTCTAATAAAACTGAACTTGATCAAAACCCATGGGTTTTTTTTTTCCTGTTACTGGATTCTTTTTGTTTTCAATGCAAGGTAACACTTGTATTTTACTGTGATGGTCTAGCAGTTGTTGAAAAAATAAATTCATTCTCATAGAACAGAAACTGTAAAGGTAACAGTAATTCAAAGGTTATTTAGGTTTTGCATCTGAGTATAAAATCAAATCAAACAGTAACCAAAGGAGTTACTGCAATTAAACAGGTTGTGAATTGCTATTTTAAGCCAAGTTCCCAAACATCATTTTTTCATTTCATAAAGTTAGCTATTCTAATTGTCACCAACCATGTTTTCTGAGCTAAAGGCAGGACTGAGTGATCACAGCTACCAGACTACTATCTGTCGTTGCCTTTGCTGGGGATTTGAAGAATAAAGGTAGAACAGGGAGCTGTTGCTACTAGTTTATGACTAAATTGTGGATGTTACTGCCTGAGACATAATTTACAAAAAAAAAAAAGAAGAGAAGCAGAGAAGTTAGCTTATTTAAAGTAAACTGAGAAATCGTGTAGAAGAATTAATCTTGAAAACATAGAATCACACAGAATCACAGAATGTTCGGGGTCAGAAGGGACCTCTGTGGGTCATCTAGTCCAACCCCCCTGCCGATGCAGGGTCACCTACAGCAGGCTGCACAGGACCGTGTCCAGGCGGGTCTTGAACATCTCCAGAGAAGGAGACTCCACAACCTCCCTGGGCAGCCTGTTCCAGGGCTCCGTCACCCTCAGAGGGAAGAAGTTCTTCCTCATGTTCAGACGGAACTTCCTGTGCTTCAGTTTGTGCCCATTGCCCCTTGTCCTGTCACTGGGCACTGCTGAAAAGAGTTTCATCCCATCCTCCTGACAGCCACCCTTGAGATATTTATAAGCATTTATTAGGTCCCCTCATAGCCTTCTCATGACTTAAATTTAATGTGTATTTCTTATTTGTAGTTATCTTGTTGCCAGTACTCTTGATTTGCTGAATTAATATGTATATATAAGGGGACTTTATAAATGCTTACAAATACCTGAAGGGTGGGTGTCAAGAGGATGGGGCCAACCTCTTTTCAGTGGTGTCCAGCGCCAGG